TCCTTTCTGCATTCCAGTAGCTGGCCTGAGTGTCTGACACTCCATTATTCCCTTGTGCAGCTGCACAAACTGGGCCACAATCTGGATATTAAGTGTATTAAATATTTATTTTCTTACTAGTTTGCTTGGATGGGTCTCAGCAATTTTTTATCTGACATTACCTGGCAGCACCAACTTTTTTCCGGTCATCAAAATATTCAACCTCATTAGAAGGGGTCTGTGGCAATACACTGGGTGATTTTCCTGCCTTCTTCTTTTCCTCTGCACCATACTCTCCATCTGACCTGCAGAGAGAGAGAAAACAGTCCTCGTTATCTAAGGATTCATACCAAGGGCAAAAACCAAACTGACCTAAGAAGGAAAATTGTCCAATGTGTACTTCAATCATTAATTATAAATGTTAACATATAAAGATTTTAACAATAGTCATTCTTGGATCTTTTATCATGCTTGGGAAAACTAAATACCTATCCTCCATGCTTGTTTACCTAGAACTTTAATCTAGTTATCTTATTTCTGTCATACTAACATATGAATTTAAAATATCCTCTAGGTCAGCTAATATTTACATAGCATCAATCACTGTAGTATCTAAGTACCTCTTCGAAGATTTTTATAGTTTAAAAATTGACAAAAAAGGCTCCCCGCCCCATTAAAACCTTTCCATGATGAACATTTAAAAAAGTAGTCTCATTTTCTAAGATACAGCAAATACACAAAGTGTGGCTATAAAGCCTGATCAGGGCATATTGTAGAGCCCACCAATAAACTTCCAAGTTAAAGACAACAGTAAAACAACCAAAGAGTTTCAAAGACTTTGTGAGGTTGACCCCCCCATTCATCATTTGGAGAAAAAAGCACCATTCTAGCCGAAGGATAAATGTCAAACCTTTCATATGAATGTCAAACTGCTTTGTTTTCCTAGAGCAGCGTTCAGACATTGTACTTATAGCAACAGCTCTTATAATCCATGTAACTGGGAAATTTTATGCTGGCAGTGTTATCAAAATATGAGTAGAGGTAGATTACACTTTAATGAAAAAATGTGACTGTGTCCTAAACAGTTATTTAGGCTACATCTATACTGCTTCCTTCTTGTGCAAAAGACTATGCAAATGAAGCACAGATTAGCATATTGCTGCACTTTATTTGCGTAATTAATTAGGGGTCATTTTTGCACAAGAGGCTTTTGCACAAAAATGGCCCCTCATTAATTATACACATTAACTGTGGCATTATGCTAATCCATGCTTTATTTGCATAGGCTTTTGCACAAGAAGGAAGCAGCATAGACCTAGCCTTAGTGTTCTGGAAAGAATCTCCAACCACAGACTGGATGTCTCCTAAACAACATGATCTGCACTATTGAAATTCTAGTAATGGGGGGAAATGACCAGAAATGAAAGGGCTACTATTTCACAGTGATAATGTTTTCAGCCCAGCTTTGGTTCCAAGTAGTAGAGGAATAAATCTAAACTAAAAGAGTGTTTGGTGCTTAACAGAGTCAAGTAGTACCAGTAGAGTTAGTATTTTTTAAATTTTCTAATGAACCTACAACCTGTATGTCATACTTAACACATTTGTTATAGCGAAATATTATAAAAGGAAACAAGTTAAAGCAGAGTTCCTGAGATCCTCTTATCTGGAACCAACTAAGTCCCCTTGACTCTCAGTCACTACTTACTATAAAGTGTTTTTATTCCATTTTATTTTGAATGTGAAGAAGCATCTATCAGGTTTACAAAGGTGACCTATGTCACAATACACGGTCTGTGTTTAATAGCTTGCGTATAAAAACGGAAATCAATCTCTCCCATGGCAAACATGCATACTTCCACACTAATTAAGTTATGTGGTAAATCAATTTAAACAAAAACACAAAGTCCTTTGCAAAATTTTCCCTGATGCTCAATGCTATCCTAGATGTTTTCATATACATATGCTCGTGGGTTGAAGTCTAAAGGCAAAGGAGTAAGCTGTCAAAACATCTGTATTTTTAAACCTCTTCTCTCTCTCCCCATCCATTGTTTAATACTGTTCCACCTTTAAAAAGTATCAAATCAACTTCCAAAAGACAAAGTAACAATTGAGGGCAGAGTTTAATCCTGTGGTATACATAGTTTTTAGTTTGTTGGTTAGATTTTTTTAATTAAGCCACCACATACATATCTTATTTTGGGAATGAAGTTCTAGAAAGATTAGACATTGCCGATAAACAAAAAGGAAAAAAAAAAGAGTAGCAAAATGATGCATTTGTCAATATTATCTGCACTCCTTAAAGGTGGTTCTGGATAACTCCACTTTACAAGGACCAGTCAGTGTAGTATTTATAGAGCTCTTTGCAATTTTACAATTGTTATAGAAAATGGTAACCACAGTCCTGACCATCATCTTGATCATGACATTACACAATATAACTTCAATTAAAAGTTAAGATATTTTAATTACTATCCTAAGATGAAGGCCTTACCATTCATATTAGCATAGGCCTTCTCAGACAGATTTAAACTTTCATATTTTTATTGGGAATTGCACAAAGAAATAAAAAGTGTCACAGTCTATGTGATGTTGGCTGAGTGAGGTCATTGCAAAAAACTCTTCCAAACTTATCTCATTCTCTCACCTATCAGCTAATTACCAAGGTTTATTTGATAGGACACAAATAATCTGGTTTATTTACACTGGCCTTTGTAAATATGAACGCTTGAGAGAACACGCACCTGTTGAGCAACGCAGTCCCACACCCAGTGAATTTAACGCCTGTGAAAGAGATACCAAATTGACACTTACTGCCGAAAATTCCATTTACTCACAGAACAGCAAGTTTCCATACTGTTGCACAAGCGTGTGTCAGTTTTGTCCGACCAGACATGACAATTTTCAATGACTGCTATTTCAGGTTAGATCTGCAATCTAGAGGTGCTGGATAGCACAAAACTTCCACTTCAAGAACTCAACCAGTAATTGTATTTAATTTGAAGTTCCAATAAGCATGAACCTCAAAGAGGACTTTAGTCAGGCCCTGGGCTAGCCAGGGATACTCCCTCTCATTACAGACCAGGTTTGGCTATCTTAGGGGTAGAGTAGAAGGGCCTAGAGGCCTTTTAATCCCTCTTTATGATGGCTTCAAGAGATAGTCAAATGTCTGCCACTTTCCCCTATAATTCTTCAGCTTCTTGGGAACTGTTACTTGGAAGAGAGGAACATAGGCCTCTTTGTTAGTTTTGGAGCGTGTGTGGAGATGAGAAGAGACAAGCCTTCCACCCACACTAAGAGCTTCTGAATTCATGATACTCCTTAAATTTATGTAACCCTTCACTGGATTTAAGATTGATGTTTATATTACTGCCATGTTGAGAGTCCCCATTGGGAATCAAGGTCACACCAGACTGACAGACACCAGACTGGGCACTGTAAAAAGCGATCTAAAGATGTTACAGTGCTGCTTAAAGAGAAAATTGACAGAACTGAACTAGTGACACAAAAAACAGGGAGGGAAGGATAAGGAACAAGGAAATATTATGCAGTTATTCAGATTTCTCAAAGAAATGGCCCCTTTAAGAAACGCTTTACTTTTGAGGCTTTTTGGCCAGCAGCCGCCTACCATCTTGTCTCCCTGCGCCAGGCCAGATAGCTCCCCTGCGGAACTCAGTAAGCACCCAGGATTTTCGCCTCCTGGCCAGGAAAAAAAAAAATCTGAAAATACCAGACATCTTAGGTGTCTTTTCTGAAACTTTCTTTTTTAACCGGACAGGAGGCAAAAATACCGGACTGTCCGGTTCAATACCAGACACCTGGCAACCTACTCGGGGGCCGTGGCATCTGAACAAATGCACATGACAGGTTTGGTGCACAAGAAGAAAAACTCATGCTGTTCATGTATGGAAAATCTTAGAGGGAACACTGGGGCATGCTTGGGGGCAGGGGTGGGGACTTGGGGCAAGGCGTGAGGTGAGGGTGGACCCTGGGTCAGAAGAGGGGGTTGAGCATCCCCTAGGCCCAGAGGAAACAGGCACCTGTCCTTTAAAACATCAGCAGTACTGTGTAATTTCTCTGCCATTTCAGGCTCCTTAGACACTGTTGCACCTTGATCCAGTCAGTTCTCTGCCTGTGGCACATAATAGTCCAGACTCCTGAGAAGCTCCTTTACTTTGGTCTCATTTCAGTTGCTGGATTTAGTATGTGTGTGCTGCTGGTGGCCAGTGATATACAGGAGATTAGACTTAAATGATTTAGTGTTTCAACGGTTGGCAATTTGAAGACATCATTCTACTAAAACAGTTTGAGAGAAAATAGTTCATTCCACCTAAGTGTTATGGTAGGCGTCATTTTGCTTAATACGGTTTTCACTAAAGGAGACTATGTTTATAAGATGAACCCACAGCAAAAGGAATCAAGAGCAGAGAAATATTTTAACAAAAAGCAGTGGACTGAGTGTCTCCTTAATGAAGTGTACCAAGACACCTCATTAGCCAGCACATTTTGAAAGTTATGAGAACTAGATTTTGTCTTCTTTATACATGGTATATAAACACAGAAAATTAGTGACAGATCTGGGGGCCCAGACTTCTTTATGTTACAGAAAGAAAGTCCCTTCTGAACTCAAAAGAATGCCTTCTGGATTAGAACATCAGTAACGCAGACTTGTAGTTAACCTATGCTCCAAAAATTGTACTACATTGATCATGAAGGAATTTTTCCAAAGGGGGAAAAAAAAAAATCAAACTACTATTATGAAGTGTAATTGCTCCTAAAAACCTATTCTATATCCTGCTCCCTTTGCACTCACCAAACACAGCTTTTTGGTTGATGTTGAATGAAAGTTGCTTTCAAACACTCAGTGTTATTTGACCACCAGGTAGTTGTTTTTTTTTAAAGGCATAGCGAGCAGAACAGTATGCATTTGTTAAATGTTCTGAGAAAGGTCCAATACATTTATTTTGGTTTTAGTTTTCAACACAGAATTCAGCAAAAATGAAACAATCTCTAATATATGCAGAAGCATTATAATGTGGATCCTTAATATTCAGGAAGCTTGCTCATATTTTCTAGAGTGGCAGTAACACTCTCTCTCAAAGTCCACCCTCTCTCTGAGATCAAAAGCTGTCTTGAAGTGTGCCAGGCCCACCACACTGCAGGCAGAAAGCTGCAGCAGCATGGCCAGGCCCACAGCACAGCAGGCCAGGCCAGGCTGGAGCAACCCCCTGCCTGTGTCAAGTGGGGGACTGCTTTAGTCCAGCTGAGCTGCCGGTTAACTGGTTACCCGTTAACATCCCTAGTCAGG